AGGACCTCTAACAGCTAGAACACTTCCTGAGAGTGTGAACTTTATTGGTAAGAATTGATTTATTTATGTGCCAATTCTATAGATAGTTTGTTTATTTAAATATGCTTGGGGGGAGGGTGTACTTTGTGAACTTTGTGTGGGATTTTAAAATTTATTGATTTTCCCAAAGAACTTCAAAGTCTCCACCCATTTAATTTCTGTTTCAGTGCGGGAAACCAAAACTCAGCTCCCTCTGAGTGCCCTTAAAAAGGTTTGGGGTGAGGCGGTAAGCTACATTTGTGGCCTCAGAGAAGACTATAGCCGCCTCTTCCAGGGCCAGCGTGCAGCCATGTACGTCCAGTATATTGCCATCCTCATTAATGTGTATATTTTGTGTTTTGGGACTTTTCCGCTCATAAGTCAATGTTTTTTCGGTTTGTGTGTTTGTAGGTTGAGCCTTCTCCGCTACAACACCAACCTTACGAGATATAAGAACATGATGTTCTCCTTTTCGCAGCAGCTCAAAGCAAAGCTTGACTTTTTTAAGAGCAGCATACAGTACGACTTGGAGAAGTACAGTGATCAGATGCAGTACGGCATATGTACGTTTTAATGTGCTAGATTTCCTTGAAATGTCAGAAATTTATTATTGCATTAGTGATGATTATCTAAAAAGACTTCTTTTCTTTCTGAAGCCTCTGAAAAAATGCTGAAGGCTTGGCAGGACAATGAGGAAAAGGCTGCTGCGTTTGTACAGGTGCTGTGGATAAATTATACATTTTACATATATGTAAATTTGAAATTAGACTGATACATTTGTTTTGAAATCTAACTGCTCATCTAAGTATTCTTCATGTCACATTAAATTGTGGCACACTATTGTTTAAATGTTTGTGGTCAGTAAGTTTTTAAGTTTTAAGAACTCTGTTATGCTCAACAAGGGCAGATTGTTTTAGCAACAACTTAGAGGTTTTGTTTGCTTTTGCAGGTGGCAGAGATCGGCCACCTGGATGAGGAAATAATGGCTTTGCACTCAGAAATTGTTGAGCTTCAGAGAAGTCCTTATGCTCGTCGACAAGGAGATGTCATGGAGCAACTGTAAGTTCATTCTTTCAGCGATACTGTCTGAACTTTCTCCGCAGAGATGCCCCTTAAACCTTCTGTATTGAAATCATGTCTCATCACAGGCAAGACAGAGCAATTGAACTCTACAGACAATTGAAGGTAAAATGCAAAAGTAAGTACAATCCCATCTTGCGTGCTCATTCGCCCCAAGTCTCATTCCAAGTACTTGGGTTATTTATCTGTGTAGGCAAAATTTCCTTACATATTCTTACTGTTATATATGTTTTTGGGGTCAGGATATAGTGTTCTTCATTTCCCTTAGTGCCAGACCCCCAGCACGGCTACAGTGACAGCTCTGAGATGGTGAAGGTCATTGTACAGACTGTCCAGAATCAGGACCGGGTACTGAGGGATCTATATGCACACCTCAGGTAAAAAGCTTTTGAAACCATCCAGTTCTCAATCAAAGAGGATTGTGATGGCTCAAACTGCGGCTAGTTAACAAATGAATGCTGCTGTTGCATTTTATGGATGAAATCCAGCATTGCTGTTGTCTTATTTGCAGTAAAATCCTTCTGAGTAAGCAGAAGATCATCGACCTCTTCCCTAAAATTGAGAGGACACTGGAGAGCATTAAGGAGGCAGACAGCACTGTCATGCAGATGCAGATCAAGAGACAGAGAGAGTTCTGGCATTTACTGAAGATTGCCTGTGTGAGTCACATGCTTCTAATGTCTCAGGGCCAGATATGCACATAATCATGGACTTTCCGTCGTAATGGTTTAGTGTGTATTAGCGGTGGGTGTGATGGCCATTATCTGATCATTCCATCTATTTGGAACTTGATAGACATAAACCAAAAGGCAAATAGACAGAAACTACTGCTCAAAAAAGTCAGTCTTTTTAAGAAATTCATACTTTTATTTAGCAAGGATGCATAAAGTTGATCAAAGGTGGCAGACCTTTACATAGTTACAAAAGATTCCTATTTCAAAATAAATGCTGTTCTATTGAACTTTCTATTTATCGAAGAATCCAGAATAAATGTATTATGATTTTCACAAAAATATAAAGAAGCACAGCTGTTTTCAACATTCATAATCATGAAAAGAAAAGTTTCTTGAGCACCAAATCAGCATATTAGAATGATTTC